TCGCCCGAGAATTCTGTGGGACTGAGGACTTTATATGAAAGAACGATGGAGCGACATTTTTTTCACTTTCCCTATTCACGAATGCTTCTGACTTCTATTAAATACATAAACCAAACCTCTAAAATCTTTTGGCACACAAGGCAGAACCTTGTTGCATGTCTATACCACATCTGTAATAGCTCCCTAGACGAGACGTCTAGGTATGGTAGCTTGGAGCCTTAGATCACCCGAGACCTGGACACAACGAGGCTTTATAACGACGTATGTACAAGTACTGGGGCAAAGTAAGACTAACGAAGGTAAAGAAACGAGCTTGTTTATATAGTAATGGACCGGGTAAACGGATAATAGGAGACCGGAGATTGTAAGGGATGTGTAAATGCTAAGAAGTAGGCGTAGGCGTCACAACATCTCCACTACATATCACTAGGACCACCATATCGTTCTTGATATGCAGGTGGCGGGATTTGATCTTGTGTAAGCTGTTCGCCTTCACGGCGCTGTGGAATCCCCACAGAGTTGAGATCCGGAGTCTGAGCCTGGCCGTACGACTGATGAACCGGGTTAACCAGGGGGACGGTGGGAGGTGTTGCTTTCTCTTTTCTCATTATTTGTTTTTCGCTAGCGACAATATTCATTGTGAATGGCTCTATATGATTCACGATCTTGACTGTAGTCTCTTTAGTGTCTAATATTCAACCTGGACTGTGAACATACCGTTTTTCCGTGCATCCCTTTTCCTCCGGAGTAGTACAAGTATAGCGAATAAGAGCATGAATGTCACTACACTGACTGTGATACCCACAATTGCTCCTGTGGTAAGTCCAGAGCGCAACTGTGGGTCCTTGCCATTGGACGTTGTTGTCCAGGAGGGGATGCCTGTAGATGTCGGAGTGCCATGTGTGGAGGTGCTCGTATTGCGGGCGAATACAGGCTTCTGTCCGATGAATGTGAATGACGGGTTGTACGTGATGTAGTCGAGTCGAAAGCCCTGACTGCCTTCTATTGCAGTAAGGTTTATCAGCAGTGTATGGTTGTCTGCCCTCAATTGACTGCTGTGATAGAGCATGTAGTTCATCATCGTAACCTCGCCGTGGGCTTGCAGCTCATCCAATGATGGATAAACACCTCGGGTGATGTTGCCATCCAAATCGAACTCGAGGGTGTAGTTTGAATTGCGGATAAAATCCACTACCCCATAAACCGAAACCGACGTCCCTTGCGTGAATTAAAGTTAGCTGGATAAAGAAAGGACATAACTCTGCAATGCACCTGCAAAGTGAAATTCAAGCGAACTACCGACAATCCTGCTGATATGCGTAGTATTTTGCATAGGATGCGCCGTCAGGCCCAACCCAAACTCAAATGTCTGGTTGACCTGTGGTACCCACAAACCCTGGTACCATATCTCCTTGACAGCAGAATCATCGACCATTATAGTTTCACCAGATAGAGGCGTGTTCTCACCGGCAGTCGTGAGAAAGTAGTCCACCTCAACAAGTGCAGCAGGGTTCGTGCATACAATGGTGTGTTGATCATCGGGAAGTAATGCAGACTGATACCATTGGGTATACAAATTGTTTTGTGATTGTTGAAGGCCAGTATCTGAACCAACTTCACATGATACTCCAACAGAGGACGTGTGTCCTACAAAAGCAACTGAAGTGCCTGTATGACAGTTCACCAAAGAGATGGAGATATTGATGGATCGTTGTACACACCATGAAATGTGGTTTTGAATGCTGAAGCGCCAGAAGTGGTTTCGTTCGCCTGCACAAATCTGGTTGTACCCCCGTACCAGTTAGGATTCGCAGCGTCCTGCCATTGACTCGGATCTCCTGATGAAATAGTATTGTCATTTGCATCAACAATCAGGATAACTTGCCCATTTTGAGATGTCATAGAAAGATGCTGCCCTCGTGAGCTCTGGTAACGACAGAAGGCGAGGGAAACAGGGACTCCGGAGTGCCCATTCTGAGCAGCACAATTCATAATAAAAGAAGTGTAAACCTGTGTCAATTTCATATCAGGCTCTGAAACAGTATTCTGATTCAGTTTTGTTCATCTCCATCACACCTCAGGGATGGCTGATGTGTATGATGGCTCGAGGTACCAAGACGTTTTCGATGTGCATCTTCCAATAGTGAGTTGATCATGGATGTTTCACTATCAGAAAGGATCCTCCTATGCTTCTGCAACTTCATTGGGGCGCAGGTGATGGGTGTCAACTCACCTCGTTCGAATCATTAGTTGTTGTAACACGAGAAGTCATGGGCGATTAGATGATCAAGCACAGCACCATGCGGTACGATGGAGATCCACTAAACTTGGGCCCTTTCTATGTTTGACCCCTGGACAGTTCCCAAGACACCCCCCACACGGCGAGTCACTCTACGAGAATGGCGTTAACAACGGTATCCCAGCTCACGATGCTCTCACGTATGAACAGCACAGTATTAGCCGCCGTGTTGACGAGGAATCAGTTAAAGATAATAGTGGTACAGTACCCGAATACTATTCTTCGATTCAATCAGTCACATGAGACTTTTCGGGGAAAGAACGTTTATCCAAATACCTGTTCACTGTGAGCTATAACGCATCTCGACAAAGTAGGTATACGACGACAGTGATTTTTGAGAGATGATTTGGTGGAATCAAACGAGGAAAAAAAACGTAGACTCATTCAATGGCAAGACCAGTTTCAACGTTCAAGCTCTCAAGTTTGTCAGCAAGGCCATTCATTGTGATTTAGCCATTCTGGGGAAGAGGTTGTATTGATTACATTCATGCCATCCACGACGGTCCCGTAATCAGAATCGATAGAGCAAAGATTAGCGTGCAACGTGAGGACGGCCAGTGGCAAGAGCAGTAAGGATGTAACCAACTTGGAGGGCTCGATCTTTGTGCGTTTGTCTAGACATAATATCAGATATTTTCTACCATACATCGTACCCCTAACTTAGGTTGCACCCGCTCTGCCGGCTTAGACAAAATGAAGGTAACAGGTGTTAGACTATTTCTTTACTGTATCGATGATGGTTTCAGCACTACAATGTCAACCTTGACTGCAGGGCAACGGTTTCCGACCTCTGCAACGGAGACCATTCCGTAGATGATGATGACCTTTACTCCGTATTCTGTGTAGTCCATTCGTGTCCATAAGCCGTTGAGCGTTGAATAGGATTATAACGGCAACTAAAGTTCCTCAATCACTCCCTCGTCTCCCGCTGTTTCGGAATTGAAACAATGAAGGTTGTCACCATATGGCAAGAAACTACGTGGGACCATACAGCATATCAAGGCGCTCTTTTCGGAATTCATAAGCATTCTTGATGCTGAGGTATCAGCGCATGGTATGAATGATGTTTTGCCAGCTTCAACTTGGTTGGTCCTAGCAGGGGACAACATATAAGCTACCATCGTTCATGAAGTATTGCGGTACACATTAATCTACCATCTTTTACAGTTGAATGAAGATAGGGAGGTGGTCTGCGTGAGTCCTGAATTGATACTTCGACCGCTATACATCTACTTACAACATTTCTAGTGATATATTGACCCTGGTATCTCTATCCAAGGCTTTTAAACTCATTGATGTAAACCCCAAACAAATATCTAACCAAAGCCCTCAAATATCTATCCAGTGTAGCCGTACTTCAGCCGAGTCAGATAAAGCATTCCTCGTACAACTTCAGGCAGAGAAGAATCAACGTGACACTGTCGTTGGATTCACGAGAATGGACGTGAACGATGATTGCTCTTCGCCTATTCCTATTGTCTTTCCCGGGTTGCCAGCTTCACGGTGAGTTGTCTGCGTGGATCATGCATAATGACACTCACATGCCGCGTAATAGAACAGTGAAGGTGATAGCACTGGACGAAAAGTAAGGCTTTAGTCTGCTATGTAATCGTTTAGCTGAACAGGGATTGTAGAGGTCATCACGAGGATATATTTGGCACAGTTCTTCAAATACTTGAAACAAGTACCGCCAGGTGGGGATCTTGTTCTCTGTTTCAGAATTCAGCGTTGATTTGATGCAGCGCCACTCCGTCAGAGATCACCAGTAGCATGCTCACAAGCCAGACGGCGATAATCACCGAAACAGTTACGACCATTCATGTTACCTCTGCTTCCCAGTCCTCAAGCGAGATCATTTCCGACACAATAAGCGTAACCTCTTCCGTGGATGTCGTCTTCTCGGCTTCTTTCACATCCACCTATCCCACCATCTCTACATTATCGTCCACTATATCGAGGTACATCAATCATTGCTTGACTATTTAAGATTAAGCATCTGATGCATACCTACCAGCTCCACCGTGCAACCAACCACTAGTATATCGTCACCTCTGGCATCCGAAAGCACCATCCCGCGCAACGAGGATCCCAACGCCCCTGCCACGACAGGTGGATTGAGCTCATCAGCCGTTGTCGGCATTGTTGTGGGTAGCATAGCATTCTTCATCATTTTAGGGGCATCTGGGATGTTATATTGGCGACGGCTTCACAACGCCGATAAAGATCCCCTTCCGGAGATGTTGATTGAGCCATATAACCAAGAACTGAACCCAACTAGGATGATTTATAGGAAGGGAGATCAAGCGAATGCCTCACAAAGGGCTGAATTGCAAATGGTCTATCATCACGACAGTGGGTGGCGACCATCATACCCAGGAAATAGTCCGAGATCGGGAGGCAGCTTCGTTGATGTACCACCGCAGTACGATAATGCAGTGTGAGGATATTGGTACCCATCCTAGTAGCAATGAAAACGGTCTGAAGGTCGGAGGCTGGATCTAAAAGGGCACAATCGGTAGGTCGACGTGAGATGATACGCGAGACTTGAACTTGAGCCCCCTGTGTAACACGAACAGGGAACGTCTTTCTGAGATCTAGGACAGATGTCCATAGATCCCGATGCTAAGATTGAAGTATCTGAGAGTCTGCGTGAGGAAGATGAGCGAGACGCCACCGCAAAACCTTCTGCTTCCCAGATAATTTCCCCCTAGCCGACTTGAACGACTGACCTCTTCATATCTTCGCATGGCGAACGGATACTAGTGAAGCACTCTACCGCTGAGCCAAGGGGGACTGAAATTTTCCGGTCTAAGGAATCCCAGAACGAGAACGTTTATAGGTGGTCTTGGTGGAGCCTACAGCAGAAGCATGAAACGTAAGAAACAAACGAAAGGACCCGTCAACCACCAATGAGCGCAGAAAATGAGCGGGGACCATGGTAGGTTCGTAAATATGGCTCGAGTGAAGATGTGATTCGGTTAGTTCGTCGACTCGTGTTCGGAATACTCACTGTCACTTTAACGGGCATTCTGCCTTCTCAAATCCGAGCCGAACGATATTTCTCAGTCGACAATATTATGAGTCGAAGCGTAGACTTTACCGAAAGAGAAGAGCTCCATGGATAGATGCGAATAGTATCCGGTGGACTAGACCTATACGTCTAGTACTTGTACTTGAGCACCGCCTCGAGATTAACCTTGTAAGCTGGAGCACATTCATCAGTCCAATCGCGAGGAGCGATATTGGTACAATTCAGATGAAACGATGCTCATAAACATGTCTCGTGTGTCATGGTGGGGGAACAGCATCTTTAAGATGTCCCATGTGTGGCTACCGTAATTGTGGAGGTGAAAAGCGACGAGGTGACGATGTTGCGGTGGGAAGTTTCTGTCTGATTCATGAAAGAGAGAATATGGCTTCAGAAGCTAGCATAATTGAGCATAATTCCGACGACGTAACTGTATTAACAGACTGACTGTCCTCCAGCAACCCGATACTTCGGGGTGCATTGAGATACCAACTCGTTGCCCATGGAATGACCCTTCTATTCTCATTTCAACCACCTCTCGTCGCCATTTTCACCGATCAACGCGTTGCTGAAGAAGTCGGAAGTAAAAGTGTGGAATGCAGCAAGCCTGATTCTGATAAGACACCTTATCCTCCGAACATTACTTGAGAAGCCAGTGTTAGCCTCTAGCTGTCATTCCGAGTATCTCTCGTACCACTCTCAGCTCATTTGCCTAGCCCTGAGAATCGTGAATCGCTCGTAGTTCTAGCAGCTCATTAAAGATGATGGTGATGGATTGCGATAAACTTCAAAGCGCATCATGATCAGTTAGTGCCAGCATATCAATACGTAATATCACGTCTGCGCTTTATTTCGGCTGCGCTCTTTGCTTACAACCACCATGTCGCGCCTAGCGTAGCAAGTTCAAGGTATTACTTCATGCTCTTTATGCTGGATTTCACTCTGAAATGGGCGTGTTTTGAGGGTTCTTTGATCTTGGTTCATTGTATATCAAGAAACCTTCACGTCTTCGGTTCAGATCATCACCTCAAATCGTTTCACCATGACCACGTTCCAATGATCCGTTATGTTCATCCTGTCGCAGTGACGATGATGTTAAATTATTACGTCGGCAACTCGGAGGTTGGGGTCTCCGAGGGTAATTGATTAAAGAGACACAGACGAAGAATGTACGTCTAGAGTGTCTCGATTGTGATGGACACTCAGAACATTTCAGGAGCACCCCCCGTTGCCCGCTCCTTGGTTTTGGCTGTGTAACGGGATTATCCGATTAAACTCGTGTTCCATGAGCCAGAATCATGCAATGTGTATGAATTTGATCACACGATCAAAGCACACGAGGCGTCCACAAGCCTCAGTTGCCAAGCTGCGTGAACAGTCACTAGTCACCCCATACTCCATGTCAGCCACCACAAGCACTCGCACTTTGCCATGCTGCCCAGGTAAGCCCAAAATACCACACCCAACTCCGAAGACGAAGCATTTACCCTCGAACAGTCCCAGGCTGCCCACACCCAATAGACCTCCTCATTGAGGCATCCGACAAGAGACGTCTCGGAGCTCACAGGGAGCACCTCAAGGCGTTCAACGCCACTTTCCCCATCATTTCGCCTATAACCCACTTAATCAAAGTACCCGAGACGTATGATGTCTTGGTGGTGCTTCTGGTGTTCTCACATTACGAGTATCAATACCCAAAGCCGAAAACTTTTGTTTCTGTTTCTGGTTTAGGATTGGATACTATTTTGGATTTGGCAGTGGCGGCAGAGGAGTATGGGAATTGTGTTGTGGGGTTAGTAGCTAGGGAGGCCATGAAGTACGTCTTTCGGAGGACTGTCGAGTGCTGGTCGGCTGATTTTAGAGTTGACACAGTTACCTGGGAAAGCAATCTGCGGAAAACGCATTACGTGTTATCCCGTACAAGATTATCCATTCGGACTATACAGATATGGATGAGATACTTCTGATGACGATGTATTCGCCATTATCTGCTGCGCGCGAAGTCATGGAACCTTATCCGGATGTTTTTGATATCTATGTACGTCGCCTCTTCCAAATACCATCGTGAAAGCAGCTAATACATTGTACTCAAAAGTTCAATTACAAATCACAGTGGAGAGTGTCCTTCTCAAGGTGGACAACACAAGTCAATACAATCGATGAAGCGCTCAAAGATACCGATCCGAGGTTCGTACTCGTGAAACACATTCTTGAGAGTACAAAGTACCCTTCTGTGGATGTTGTAAACTATGCTGAGAAGATTTATTCCTCGGATCGGGATCAGGATCAAATTACAACTACAGCACGCTTAATGATGGAGGAAGGGCCTATGGTCTTGAAGACATGGGAATATCTGTTCTTTGATAAACTCCGAGAACGTGCAAGGGGTTTTAAAACATGGGAAGAGTTTGTTAGGTCGCCGAGGCGGTGTTACGAGTTGGAGCCAGAGCCGACTGAATACTTTACTAGGTGGGACTATTGGTGATGGTTTTGTATCTATGAGTGTAGTACGTTTCTTCGATATTTATATCAATCTATGTATATTAGCTTGTGCAGGACATATATTTCCTTCTTCGATATCTACCCCGAAACCGACAAAGCCAAGGAGCGCGTCATATAGTGCGATAACGAGCATCGGAAACAATGCGTTTGAGAGATGGAGGTACCGGTTCTGTTGATATCCACTCGCAGTATATTTATGAATCACTAGATCGTGTGCTTATGATACCTAGATACGTCGAAGAAACACTGATTGTTAATGCTGAAGAGGGGAAAAAAAAGTGGACAGCTTCACATAACTGGTTCGATGCAGATTTGAACTGGAGACCTCCTATGTGGCATACGTCTCTTGCACTGAGATGCATGCGCAACTACACCATCGAACCACGAACTAGTAACCATCCTCTCATCTTATGAACGGGAAAACACCCCTAGCATGGAACTCGGATGTCATTTGATACCCTACCCGCGTCTCCCAGTCTACAAGGTCCTTCTCGGAATGCACAGAACAAATCAAATACTATTGCTGCGTTGGAGGTTCTCTTCGCCTAGTATACCGTATGAATTGTCAAAGAATCACAGTGGAAAGGATTGCACATACGATCGATGAAGCACTCGAAATACCCATTTTTCTCAAAAGTCTTTACCCGCTGCAGACGATAGGTTTGAAGACGTGGATACATGCTCCTTTCGAAACTTCGAGGGTCACAGGTTTGAAGCTACCGACAACAGTATCCAATCATGGTCCAAGTCCCGGAAGCGAGAACGAGGATGGGTGATGGAATTGACTTTAGAGTGGTAATGCAGACCAAGACACACGAGAGATTTCAGTCAAAACTAATGAAAGTCTGATTGGTTCGATCCAGACTTGAACTGAAGACCTTCTGTGCATGGGAGTGGTGCGACTTATGTTAGACAGATGTGATAACCAAGTACACCATCGAACCCGTGCCTCCCGTTCGTCATTACGAAGCTCCTAGAACCAGAAGCAAAGAGGAAAAAGGAAAATAAAGCTATTCCCCCTAGCCGACTTGAACGACTGACCTCTTCATGTGGACTCCGCTCGTCCCGGTTCGGGCGGGACTCGAACCGGGACGGGCGAATACTAGTGAAGCGCTCTACCGCTGAGCTAAGGGGGATGGATGCATGTGAAGTGGAGAACTTGTACTCATGAGGTTGTATTGGGCTGTTGTCAGCTGACAGTGATAAAGTTCAAGAAGTCGATAGGCGTTTGAGCGGCTCGGAATTCCCATTCTGATGAATGGATAGCGTGTTCTTGAATACCGTGATGCCTTCTTTAAGCTTGGCGTCTTCGAAAACGAAGAAGACGTTGATGGTAAGTCCTATCCAAGACGCAAAAAACTATACGATATCTTTACCAAGTGCCCGGCGTGGTTCGAACACGCGGCTTCAAGATCACCTATTAGAGATCCTCATATATTGCAATCTCACACTCTACCACTGAGTTACGGGCACGGTTCTAAACCGGACTTGTAACACGTAGATGGCTAAACATCAACGAATTCCACGCTTATCCGGTCTCGACTTGCGTACGGGAGAGATGCTAAGACATAACCATTACCTCGCGTTGAAAGGAAAACAAAAAGATTAGATGGAATTCGTCGATTCCCCCTAGCCGACTTGAACGACTGACCTCTTCATTGTACACTCGGGCAGACCGACTAGCTATAGGGAGTCGGCAACCCGAGTGTATACTAGTGAAGCGCTCTACCGCTGAGCTAAGGGGGAGGATGCGAGATGGACTAGATACAGTTAGATAGAAGGATCTTCGGCGTGGGAATAAAGGAGGCGTTAAGGAAAATGAAGTTGCCAAGTCCAGGAACTCCGTTATGGTGTAGTGGCTAACATTATCGCCTCTCATCCTGATATTAAACACTAGGTGTATACGCGATAGCCCCGGGTTCGATTCCCTGTAACGGAACTCATCCAGCGTTGTTTCGTTTTCTTTTTGAGCATCGCTAGGGTCTGGCTAACGAGCGCCGTACAAGTATATCGTTTCCAATGAGCATGCCTTATACCAATACGCACTTTTGTGGGAAAAAGCATGCGATCGAATGCAGGGGTGCCAGTGTGTAGAGAAAATGTAGAGTAGCATGGGTATGGGTACGCAACAAACTATCCCTTGATGGTGCTTTGCCTCCTGTACCGGTACTGGAGATTTGCGGTTGTGTTGAACGCAATGCATCAGGGACTCGCCAATGAGAAGCATCGAACAGGTAAACTGATAAAACTTCAACACAACAGCCCGGCGAAGCTGCCCCAGTGAGGCTCGAACTCACGACCTTCCGATTGCATCGAACACTTCATGTATATAACAGTCGGACGCTGTAACCAACTCAGCCATGGGGCAGACAACGATTTGAATATGTCTGGCAATGTGTCGCGCTAGCATCGCGTAAGATGTGCTGGCATCCCTTCGGCTCCGCTCTTTTTCCTTTTGACCACCATGTCTGTCGTCCTTCCCATCGTCGTAGCATCCATGGGCCCGCCGTAACTCTTTCATGTGCCCTTTTCACTGCAATCTGACTGTAATTCTTTCATAGCCTCTATGTCTCCATCTGATAACATCAACCGTGCGTCGCCTTTCTGGTATGCTCTCAACCTCTGCACGTGTCAATATCAGCTCAGAGCAATGATGAGGTGCGTTGGTTAGCCGTGCATCCAACCTATGTCCCTCCACCGTGATCCTACTCCTTCAGATTTCGCCTGAATCCACTCCTTACAAGAACGCCTATCCTTCCTGCACTCGCTTCAATACACAGGTAGTCACATCAAGTTGAAAGCGTGCCGCTTGGAGGGTAGAACGACTTGAAGAAGGGGCCGACGTACGTCCTAGCCCCATCTCTTTCCCTTCTGCTTTCTTATCTATCCGGTTTTCAGGACAGTATCTGGCTTCTTCGTGCACTACGCCCTTGTCAACGCGTCGATCGGATAACATGCAGGATATATCCTACGTACGTCTCTCAGCCCTTATCTTTCCCTACAAACGCTAAGCCTCGGACTCTCCCCTCACAGGAACATCATCCTCCTTCGTCCCTGTTCCTATCTCCTCCACTACACGCCTCGGGAACATTCCTCAAACCTTTCATTTATCGATGAACCTCTGTTCCGTTCCATCTCAGCTGAAAGGAGAAAGAAGGCATGAGATGTATGGGTATCGAGCGGAGGAAGAAGGGCGAGTGTGCGTTAGATTTCATTCCTCCATTCATGCCCCATACTGACGCATATCCCTCTCGTTCAAGTATCCTCCGACTCTCACCCCCAGCCAAAATAACACACCCAACGTGCAATATACGTCTTGAAACTCCCTACGTCATTCTATCCCTGTCCCACTCAAAAGGAGCGACTACCGCCTTTCTTTACCCCACTCTCGAACGGGCAGGGGAATTCCTGATCAAAGCGAGTGAGGTATGTTCTTTGCCTGTCAAGTAACACCACGCGCTGACCCTTCTTCTCGGTTAGCTACCCCCTCCGCTTTACCACCCCGATCTTCGATACTAAAAAGGGGGTATTCAACGTGCTTCTTGCTTCTATTCCGATCTTTCCCCGCACGCTCATCCGATCTCTCTACTCTCCGGGTTCCCAACGAGACTGTTTGTTGAGCGGTGTTACCGCAAGACGTATCGCCTTCGATAGATACAGTACTGATCGTCTGTATGTTTGGTTATCAACCCTATAGCGCTCGGTGTCTATTATATACCACTGGGTTTCGTATTCTCCTCTTTTTTTTACATCCCCGTTTGGAGTAATCGAACATTTGAGGGAGATGTAGGTGCGAAGGAATGCGGGGTGTAGACAATTTCATGCGAATGTGATGAGGATAGAAAAAACCAGATGACCCACAAGATTCGGTTACAGGGATTCGAACCCTGGGCTATCGCGTACTCAGATTCCATTTTACCGTGGAATGAGAGGCGATAATGTTAGCCACTACACCATAACGGATGTGATGTTATCTGGTCTTCACAATTATCTATCAGAAGGTAGGCCGCAAGCGGATTCCAGGACATCACGTGACCAAGCGTGACAGAAAGTCGAAAAAATAGTATTTTAAATACTCCTCCTGTATATAGTATAAATGTACAAATATGGCTCCGTTACGGGCCTTGGAATAGTTATCGCTGGGCCGCAACGGAGCCCTTTTTAGTGAACTCTGATGTAAGCCGCGGGAGTATTTCTTTTTCAATTCCTCTGCGATCAACAACGCGAGACGCGTCAACAGTACGCGTCTCGCACTATGCCTCCTCCAAAAAAGCGATTCTCAGGACTATTGCAGAACATTGGGAAGGCTTTCCCTACAGGAAGAAAGAGGAAGGAGCGCGTTCCGGATAAGGAAAATGTGCGTGATTGATTATGTTCACTCATTCAATCAACATCAACTTCTTTTCATTTAGGACCTCCCGACGTCTCGAAAATCACTCAGAGTTGATGACAGACAACTCAACACCTCATCAGACCCTCGGACCAGCAATGGCGCAAATGGAGAGCACTTTCCCCACACGCCGTCACTCCCTCTCGTGAACGAAGCTTCTTTGACACATCAGATCACCTCTCCCATCCATTCACGTCATGTTGAGGTCCACGATGTTCCCGAAGATGTCTCAATTGATTCTACATGGAATGGGGATGAATTTTGGATGGATATCCCAGCCAATGACACGCTACAAGACCGACACATTCACGAGGCTTCTATTCACACTGGGTCCCAGTCAACATCAGAATCATCTCAACCCGCCGCCGCCTTAGGTGATGGCGGCGCGTCTTCCCCATCAGAAAATCACGTACCGCGTGTTCATTTTGCTTCGAGTGTCACCGTAGAAGGTCAGGCAGTGGGAATCGAGGATAACAGCGATGACTTTGACAATAGTGACAAAGATGAAGATGACTGGGAAGAGGAAAGGAGAAAGAGAAGGGGTTTTTTTCAGCCACCGCCCACATTGGATCAATGTGATGCAGCATATTCTTGCCTGCGTCTCTTGCTAAAGCCGCCGCGCAAACCCCTGGGAGAGAAGAAGCAGGGTTTTAAGGATCCGGGTTTTGATGCGAAGACCAAAGAGAGGCTCCAGGGAATGAAGATGTTCCTTTTTAATTACATTGACATGCAGACCGCTGGCTCCAGAACCCAAGGGGACAGTACGTTGATGGTCATGAGTGTGCTGATGTTGTGTTCTACCGGGACAAAACATTTTTACCCACGTTGAAGGAGTACGAGGCTCGGATGCGCAAATGGGTCGCTGACCATGCAGAGGAAGATCATCCAGACCCCTCAATTAAGCGTGTGGTGTTCTGGTATCATGATGAATCTACATTCTATGCTCATGATTGCCGGAAATTGCGCTGGGTTCATAAACTGGAAAAGGCAACACCATATGCAAAGGGAGAAGGGGTGTCATTGATGGTGGCTGATTTCATGTCAGCGGACTACGGCTGGCTTCGCTCACCAGATGGAAGGGAAAGTGCACGGGTCTACTTTGAAGCTGGAAAAGGGAAGGATGGATACTTTGAGAACAAGGATATTCTCAAGCAAGCTAATCATGCAATGGATATTCTGACGAAGTATTACCCAGATGAAGAGCATGTTCTCATATATGATAACGCCACAACTCATAGGAAGAGGTCCGAAGATGCACTTTCAGCTTCAAAAATGCCAAAGTTCCCCTCACCAAATTTCTTTCTGGAGGTCAATGTGTTCGATGACAAGGGAAACCGGCTCTATGAGCGTGATGGCTCATACATGAAGAAGAAAATCCGGATGGGTAATGCAAAATTCAGTGATGGCACAGTACAGGAACTCTATTTTCCCAACAACCTTCGATCCAATCATCCAGACTATGCTTACCGTGGCATGTTCAAGGGAGTTGCACGCCTTCTCAAGGAACGGAATCTTCCACATCACATGAATCTTCAGTGTGATCCAAACTCTCTGAAGAAGTGTCCACCAGGTGTCGAGTTCTGCTGCTGCCGTCGCACTCTATATAATCAACCCGACTTCGTTAATTATCCTTCCATCCTGGAGACAGAGGCAAGGAAGCGGGGTTTTCTGGTGGTGTTCCTTCCCAAATTTCATTGTGAGCTCAACCCAATTGAGCAGTGCTGGGGTTACGCAAAGAGAGTCTATAGGCTTTCCCCGCCATCATCAAAGCCAGATGATCTTCGCAAAAACGTGAAGGCATCACTTGAATCAGTGCCATTGGAGTCAATGCGGCGGTATGTCACCTGTTTCTTACTTTGGATTCTCCTCGGCACTCGCTAAAGTCAGATTTAGGTTTTCCACACGCTCGCTGAGATTTCTGGATGCATACCGAAAGGGTCTTAACGGAAATCAGGCGGCGTGGGCGACAAGGAAGTACAGAGGTCACCGAGTCATTCCAGAGCATATTTACAGAGAATTAGAAGCCAATAATATTTACTAATTGCTGTGCGGACAACTAAAATACATTTCGCGACGCGAGAGAGACTGAACACCCTTGGGCGCTTATTGCGCAATGGTCTTGATAGGGGCATTGTCACATCCCGGTCACAATCACCTGATGTCCTGGAATCCGCTTGCGGCCTACCTTATGAGAGTTGATGAAAGTACGTTGTTTAGTGCGACAGCACCGGCTATTATAGCAGTTATGATTTCAGCCATGTCACGGTTTCTACCACACACGACAACAACTGCTGCAACTAGACGAGGAGTCGACACGCGAAAAAAGAAGCGAATGAATGGGAACATAGTGTGCAGACCGATATCTAAGATCAATGGTACAAATATAATCTGCCATTGTCTTCCCCAGATTGAATAACAACGCCACAGCTATGAACTTGCAAGAGTCCATGATACTGAGGGTTTGAGAAATTACCAGAATAGCGTCGGTCACCAAACTAGATGCACATGTTGAGGAATTTCAATGACAGAGAGACGCAAGAGAGACGAGTAAAACGCACCTAGACCCGATGACAGTTCCGTTCATCGCAAGTGCAATCAAAACATAACCGGATTCAATGGTGTTATACCAACTACCAAAGCATGCTAATCTGTAGGTCAGATTTCAATGAGAGTCTGAAGCAGTTTGATTTCTTAACATCCAGACCCTTCACAGAGCTTAAAATCATCAAGAATATTATCCATTGCGAGAAACACCGACGCCAGTAGAAAAATTAGAGAGTTGGCAATGAGATGATACCGATATGATGCACCCTTCCGCCTGAGTAGGATGTATGTGCAGACGCAAAATACTACCCCATGTACACCTTCATCAAATCAGACTTGCGAGCATCTAGAGCCCAAGTAACTTGCCATAGACCAAAAAGTTCCACTGAGACAGTCAGACGTCGGGAGGACCAGACATTAAATCGTGACTTACAGCAGTGAGCGCCATGTACCACAGTTGACTGCTAATATCGGCCATCTTGGAGTATGCGTGAGAAAGAACATGTAGAATCGATGGTACATTTAAGTAGTATTTGACAGAAATGCTCTATGTTCCTGTGCTGCTCTAGAATCACCTCAGGTGAGGCAGAAGGCCCGACTCATCGATTATTGCAGCGAGCCATTGGATCATGCGGCTACATAGGATTGCAGCTTCGTTCATAGAGATACCGCGAAGCTATGGGAATAATAGTATGTAAATCACTGCATGTGAACACAAGTCAGTTTAGAGAAGGAGAATTGTTGAGGAGACTCGGAGACGCAGCAAGCCTAGCCCTGAAGGCCCTTCCGAGAGGTGTACTGCTGCCAAAAAAGAAAGAAGAACAGCCCAAAGTAACACTGTGGATGTAGACGTCAGCTCGAATGAGGCAAGCAAAGATAAAAATACCTCATATATGTCAGTGCATGCCAAGAACAGGTTGCACGTTTCATACATTTTACCGCTTAGATCGGTCTTGGAAGAGCGTAACAGGTCCATCTTTGATATGAGGAACTCAGATTCCCATAGGACATAATTGTATAATAGTGTATACAAAGTCATCAGGCAACTTCAGCAGCACGGCGAATATTTCTCCGCTCGCGTGGTGACTTCCCATAACGTATCGGAACGCCTTCTGTACATTGGAATAAGTGTCGCCTATAAGCACGGAATGGAGTGATGTACACACGCTTGGCAAGCACCCATGTTTCTTGTTCAAGCTTCGCAATCCGGTAACACTTCTCCAATCCATCAAGTAATTCGTGATGTTTTCCTTCTGCTGCGTACATGCCCGATACCGCACTTCGTTGTGCTTTTGGACATGCCTGTGAAAGGACTGTGGCAGTACGGCGAAGTTCACTTTCCGGGCGATTATCGCCTGGATTCTCGATCCAGAATTGCACAAATGCTTCCAGAAATCCGTTCCTTTGCATTGGGTTCGATGTCACAATCTGAACGCGTGAAGTAAGCTGAACAAGCTATGCCCAATGTAAGATAATAGCCACTTACTCCTGAGAAATCACTATCCACGATATTCCTTCCATGCGCCGTTCGGATTCTCCCTAAAGACCTCATGAGAGCGAGATAATGTAACGCGTAATGTTGAGGTGTGATATCATTGGCATAAGACCAGAGTACTGCCACCCATTGTTGCAAGGTACTCTCAAAGGTCCAGGTCGTGATCAGCCGAGATTTCGGCGCTGCAAACCAACTATGGCCCAGGTCAGATACTAATCTGTCTGGATTTGAGATGATAAAGTGGGTGGAGTCTCCCAAACGTTCGGCCATCCACGCTGTTTGGCAAGAGATGACCGCAACACCGGAAAAGATGCGTACGGAAACGATGAAATTTGGATGGTCAAGCTGAAATTTAGCAAATCGCGTTATGAAGTCAACTTCGTCTGGCAAACGATCTAGCGCTGGAGCCTCCGGAGCATGTATGTTGGCCTGGAGATGGGAATCGACGAGAGTAAGGTTTTCTGTTGTCTCGATTCCATACCAGCTTGAAAGATCTGTATCACAATCGCTACTACCGTCGCCATCCAAAACTAA